CTGTGACCCACTGATTACTCAAGAGTGTGTTATTTAGTTTCCATGTATTTGCAGAATTTTTGCAGTATCCTTTGTCATTAATTTCTAATTTCAGAGCGCTATGATCCGAAAATATGCAAGGGATGATTTCAACTCTTTTGCATTTGCTTAAATATGTTCTGTGAGCTAATATATGGTCTATTTTAGAAAATGATCCATGTACTGCTGAGAAGAATGTGTATTCTGATGTTGTTGGGTGGAACATTCTGTATATGTCTATCAAACCCATTTGTTCACAGGTGTGATTCAGTTCTGTTATTTCTTTGCTCATTTTCTGTCTGGTTGATCTGTCCCTTGGTGTCAGTGGTGTATTAAGGTCTCCTGTTACAAATGTGTTACTCATAATTTGAGTTTTCATTTTTGTTAATAATTGTCTTATATAACTGGGTGCTCTGGAGTTTGGTGCGTATATATTTAAGATAGTTATCTCTTCCTCTTGGAGTTTTCCCCTTACGAGTATGTAGTGACCTTCTTTGTCCTTTATGGTCATTGTTGGTTTAAAGTTCACGTTGTCTGCAAACAGAATGGCTACTCCTGCCTTTTTTTGAATTCCTGCTGCATGAAGAATTGTTTTCCATCCTTTGACTTTCAGTCTGTGAGTATCTTTCTGGGTTAGATGGGTTTCCTGTAAATAGCATATGGTTGGATTTTGTTTCTTGATCCATTCTGCTAGTCTGTTTCTTTTGATTGGTGCATTGAGACCATTTACATTAATGGTTATTACTGTTAAATGCTGGTTTATTGTTGGAATGTTATCTCTCTGCTGTTGCATCTTTATCTTTCGGTTCTGTTTAATTATTTGCTTTGCTTAGTGGTTTTTTTCCTTTGTGTATCTAAACTGTCTTTCAATATTTTTTGCAGGTTTGGTTTGGTGTTCATGAAGTTCTTCAGCTGTTCTTTGTCATGGAAGTATCGTATTTCACCATCAATTTTGAATGAGAGTTTTGCAGGATACATCAGTCTTGGTTGGAAATCATTTTGCTTTAGGATCTGGAATACTTCACTCCATGTTATTCTTGACTTTATCGTTTGTGCTGAGAAGTCTGCTGTGATTCTGATAGGTTTTCCTTTATAAGTGATTTGTCTTTTCTCTCTGACAGCTTTTAATAATCTATTCTTGTGTTGGATTTCTGGGATGGTGATTATTATATGTCTGGGTGTAGTTTTATTTTGGTTATGACTGTTTGGAGTTCTATATGCTTCACTGATCCTGATGTCAGTTTCTGATCTCATGCTTGGGAAATATTCAGCTATTACTTCTCTAAATATCCTCCTGACATCCTTCATGTTGTCTCCCTCTCTTTCATTAATCCCTATCATTCTTATGTTATTCTTCTTTGCATCGTCTTGCAGTTGTTGAATTGTTGTTTCCTGGTTCCTTGTTATTTTCAAAAGATCTTTACTTTCCTGTTCACTAGCTGTAATCCTGTCTTCAAGGTCTGAAATTCTATCTTCACTTTCATTAAGGTGGTTTTTACAACTTTCAGTGGAGTTTTTTATTTCCTGTATATCTCTGTGCATTTGCATTATGTATTCTGTTTGTTTCTTATATTGCTCGTCTAGGGATTCTATCTTTTTGTTTAGTTCCTCCAATTTTTTGTCTGTGTTTTCTTTAGATATATTTAGAATCTCTTTCATTTCTTTTATCATTTCTTCTTTTATCTGGGAGATTATTTCGAGTTTGAATTTCTTTAAAGCTTCCTGGAGTTGCTTGTCAATTTCAGTGGCTATTGTGTCCGATATATGAGGTGGATGGGATATATTTTCTTCTATGTACATCGCTCCTAGGGTTTCTTGAGATGGGCTGGAGGTTTGAGGTTGTAATTTGGTCTTTCGTTTTGTCATTTTCCTATATTTCTGTGTTTCAAGTGTTATTTGAAAGCTTCCTCAGGATCTGTTGAAAATCCCCTTCTATGTTTGGAGCTACTGAGACTCTGGCACCGCGCTACCCCAAGCCATTAGGCCTACAGAACCAGTGGCCCTCCTCTGCCTGCTCAGAACTCCGCAGTTCCAGACAAGCTGGACCTCAGGGACACTGTGTGCCCACCTGCCCCTTGGAAGCTCCACAGTTCTTCAATCGCAGCCGGGTTAGGGTACTCACCACAGGCCGCAGTGCTTCAGGAACCTGTGGACCCTCCCTGGTTGCAGAGATATCCACAGTCCTCCAGACACATGGAGAGGCCTATGCAGGCACCCCAAATCTGCCCAGCTCCTCCTCTGCAGACCAATGGCCAGGCTCGGCAGCTAAGCAGGCTGGGCTAGGCTGGTAGTGTGGGCCAGCCCACCTATGGGGAGCTCAGCAAGTCTCCAAGTGAAGCCGGGAATGGGGAGGCTGATGTGGAAGCCTCAAACCCACCTCTCTCCTTCACTGCACCTGGAAGCCTGAGGGAACTCCAGCAATCTGGGCGCAGATATCCAGAGTCCTCCAGACACGCAGAGAGGCCAGTGAGGGCACCCCAGATCTGCCCAGCTCCTCCTCTGCAGACCTATGGCCAGGCACGGCAGCTAAACAGGCTGGGCTAGGCTAGTAGTGTGGGCCAGCCCACCTATGGGGAGCTCAGCAGGTCTCCAAATGAAGCCGGGAATGGGGAGGCTGATGTGGAAGCCTCAAACCCACCTCTCTCCTTCACTGCACCTGGAAGCCTGAGGGAACTCCAGCAGTCTGGGCGCAGATATCCAGAGTCCTCCAGACACGCAGAGAGGCCAGTGAGGGCACCCCAGATCTGCCCAGCTCCTCCTCTGCAGACCTATGGCCAGGCGCGGCAGCTAAACAGGCTGGGCTAGGCTGGTAGTGTGGGCCAGCCCACCTATGGGGAGCTCAGCAGGTCTCCAAATGAAGCCGGGAATGGGGAGGCTGATGTGGAAACCTCAAACCCACCTCTCTCCTTCACTGCACCTGGAAGCCTGTGGGAACTCCAGCAGTCTGGGTGCAGATATCCAGAGTCCTCCAGACACGCCGCATGTATGAATACTGAATAGTTTCCCTAATGTAAGTAATGATTCAAATATATAAAAATATGTGGTAATCATGATTCCCCATTATGTGGCCTTGAAGCCTTATAAAGTTTTCACTCATTAATTGGAAAGGCTTTATTCTGGGCTTCTTGATATGGAAATATTTGAAGCTATAGTATATGAAGTTTTATTCAAATATTTCAAGGAAAAAGACAGACACTATGGTAACTACTATTAAGTCGGGTTATTTGGTGGTGAAGCACTAGGTTGCTGAAACAGTCATGCTTTGACCTGTATTGTTATATTGTTATGTCCTGTTTTATCTCAATCTCACCCTTATTCATTAAAAAAATTATTTAGTGATTTTTTATATTTTTCTTAATTAAGAGGAAAAATTAAATAAATTAGCAGGATATGTAATAGTAACTTTTTTGATTTCCTCTTAACTTGTTTTGAAGTCCTGTAATACTCCCACCATCTTGTTTTGACTGATTAGTCTCTGTTCCATTCTGTATGATAGTATCAAGTTTGAGGGTATAGGCAACTACTTTGAAGGCAATAAGATTCACTAAGATGCCCATTCTGGTTTGACTATTGTCTCCTTTGGACGTCCTGTAATGTTTACAATGCTTAAGTTTTATTGGTCTTGTTCTCTACTGTTTTGTTCAACTTTATAATATCTAATGAGATAGACAATTCTTTTTAAGGAAACAAGAGACATCGTTGATAACCATTGTTGATAACCTTGTACTCTGTTTTACATCATGTGCTATGTCTATCCTTGGTTTTTACTGACAGCTTTGTTTTGCCATATTTGACTTTATTCTCCCCCCCCCAAAAAGTAATAAGAGCTAAGGAGTAATAAAACCTAAAATGTGTAAATTTTGTTGTAAAAAAGAGAGGGAAAAAAGAGCTCTAAAGGATACAACAGCAAGTGTGTTTAGGGGTGTTAAATAGCTGACCATATTAATGTTTTTAGTTGGATCATGGAACGCAACTGTTTGCGGTCTCACTGTTTGTCCACTTTGTATGCTTTGATACTGTGATTTGAACAACTATCTCCAAGATGATAATATGTAATCTATTAACTGGTGATTTCTTACTGTTTTTTTTTTTTGTAGTTCTGTATTACTTGTACCCTTACACTGCTTTGTTTTGTTCTGTTTTTTCTCTTTTTCCTTTTAAATAAAATTTAAAAAGAAAAGAAAAAAAGAAACAAGATCCATCAATATACTGTATACAAGAAACTCATCTAATTGGAAAGGAAATTCATAGACTGAAAATCAAAGGAGAGAAAACAATTGTTCCATGTGACAGGAGACCAGAAAAATAAAAACAAGGGTAACGTGTCCATCAACAGCAAAATAGATAAGAAAGATATGGTATTTTCATGTGGTAGAAAGCTACCCATCTACCCAGAAAGTAGAATAATCTCAAGGCTCCTGTAGGTAAATGGATGCACCTGGAGATCATGTTCATGGGTAAAATTGTTGAAAATCACACACGTGAAGCCTAGCATAAGAAACAGAAGGAGTTAATGGAATCCAAAAGCAAAATAGTTAATGTAAGAGTGAAGGAGAGAAACACCTGGGTGGGAAAGGTGGAAACTACTGTAAATTTCTTATTGTCTTGTCTTGAACTTTCACATTGTTTACACATTTTTGTTAGGTTTGGCTTTGTTCTGTGTTGTTTTGTTAAATTATATGCTGTCAGATGGTAGCAGAACCTATTTTGAATATAATGTGATATATTATGGTAGTCATGGCTTCCTGTTATATTGCTTTGAAGTGTTACAATGCCTTATATCATTTGTTTGATTGGTTTTAATTATGTTTTGTTTGATTTTGTTATGTGATTCTATGAACAGCTATTTTGAAGAAAATTAGACATTATGGAAGCCATTGCTGATTTATTATCATATTATGTTGAAGTCCTACCATGCTTTTGTTCTTCTGTTTTGATTGGTCTATCCTGTTGTGCTTTATTTGATTTTATTATGGGTGATGGTATAGACAACTTTTTTGAGGAAAATGAGATATTATAGTAGGCATTGTTCAATTCCTGTTATTTGGTTTTGAAATCTTCTAATGCTTTAATTATTTTGAATGACTTTGTACTTTTTTTATGTTCGATATTATTGTGTATGAAGGTATGCTCAACTATTTCAAAGAAAAGAGACATTATGGTACCCACTATTGATGTCCTCTTGTCTTATTATGAAGTTCTGTGCTGCTTGCATTGTTCTGTTCTGATTTTCTTTGTTCTGTTCTCTTTTGTTTTATTTTCTTTAAAATAAAATTTTAAAAAAGAAAAACGACAACCCACTGAGTAAGAAAATATTGTAGATGTTTGTCCCTCAGACAAAGGACTCAAATCCAAAAACATATAAACAATTGAAAAAAGGCACCCAAAATTCAAAGACTCACTCCCAAAATGAGTATCTGTGATGAATATGCGTGTCTCAGGTGATGAAATACAAATGACAAAAAATACATGAAAAAATGTTCAACATAACTTGTCATTCAAGAGATGCAAATTGAAATAATATCCTTTTCTCTCCAGAAAGAATTGCAGTTATCAATAATTGAACTAATAAATGCTGGCAGAGCTGTGTGGAAAAAGGAATACTTATCCACTGTTAGTGGGGGTGCAAATTGGTGAAACCATTTTGGAAATCAATGTGGAGATTTCTCAAAATGATTAGAGGTCTCATTTGACCCAGCTGTTTCCTTTCTGTGTGTCTTCCCAGAAGAATTAAGAATATCATACCACAATGACATATATGCACCAATGTTTACCCTCCTACTAGCCTGCTGTGAAAATCTGTTTATTTAATTTTTATTTTTTGTCTATCAAATCAATTGAAACCAAACAGAATGTCTTTTACATGAATAAAGCTTTCTTACTATTTTTGTCTGGACTTTGTTAACGTTTGCATTTCTGGATGTATAAAAGAAATTCATTAATATGTTTTATGGTTTGCTTCATTACTCAGCATTAAGAACACATCTCTGAATTATTAGATTGACTCAGTCAATGTTAACAATTCAATAGCATAGCTAATAGGAATTAAATTTTGAATTGAAAATATCATATAAATTTAACCTTTTTATGTACAAGAATTTGATGCCAATGATAAAAATTGGGTTTACTAAGTAAGCAAGAAATCTTCATATAATCACAAACTTTGTTAATGAAATCACTGGCAAGGAAACTCAGCTTCCTAGCCACAGCCCAGGAGACTGTGTTAAGATCATTGCTCCCAGAGCTCAAGGGCCTGCCCAGAGCCCAGCCACACTAGGCTGCACTCACCTGGCAGGTTTCAAACCTGCCCAGGACACATCCAGTGACCTTCTCCAGAACCCAGAACCAGGAAATTCAGCTGGCTGCTGGGGTGAGTCAGCTCCCAATCCAGAGCCCAGGAGACTGTTAAGATCATTGCTCCCAGGACCTCTGGGAGAAATTGTGGATAGATAACAGCAGCTACAGAGGCTCTCTGAGATAGCCAGCTTAGATTCCAGGAATGGTACGGTAAGGGGAGTCCTAAGCAGGGGATGATATACCCTGCTGACCCAAGAACGAACTAAGCTGAGAGAAACCAAATGGAAATGCAATCCTGGTGCTACGATGGGCACAGCTAAAGTCTCAGTGCAGAAACTGGAATTTCTTCCACAATAACCCGATCTTCATGAACCACATAAGTATGAGGCAAGTATTTATCACTCTACAAATGAATAAAAGAAAATAGAATGAGAATTTAAAAATATTTAAGTTTCTACCTTTTATAGATACAGTTTTAAAATCTATACTTCACTTTAGAGTAATTTTAGACTCACAGAATGTCTATTACTTAGCTGTATTTTTAATAGATATGTAAGTATTAATGAATTTCAGTGTGATATTTTCACACACATACAATGTGGACTGATCAAATTCTCTTGATCCACTGGCCCCATATTCACTTCCCCGCTTTTATTAGTATTTTAACTGTTCTATATTCAAGTAGTTGGGTTTTAATTTTCATATATTACAGAGAACAAGAAGTATCTATCTTTGTGTCTGGTATATTTTGCTTAACATAATGTGCTAGTTCAATCCATTTTGCCAGAGCATTCATTTTATTAAAAATTACTTCAAAGAAATGAAATATTTTGGCTGAACCCATTACTTTTTCAGAATTAGTAAGCAAAATTATTTGTAAATGTTCATGGAAAAAAATTCCCTTCAAATACATACTGCAAGTTTGCTGAAGAACTCCACCAGATTCTTTGGAGGTATAGCAATGGAGGTATTCAGGGGCATCACACAGCAGTTTCCCAGGAACATGTCTAGGTACATAGTCATTCCTTGTTGAGGAAGAGGAAAAGTCTGGGTAAAATAGGAAGTAGGGAGATAGATCTTCTCAAAGGTGCAGGGGGATCAAGAGATCAAGAGGAAGGAGATGAAAAAATAACACATATTATATACAGCCCCACATAAGGAATGTACACATTATATACTATAATCAATGTGCTAATAAAGAAAATATTCCAAAAAAAGTTGAAAACAAAACATTTCATTTATAAATGAACATAATATTTGTCATAAACTAGAAAAAACAGAATTCTAGAATACCTGTAAGAATGAAAAACTTACCTTTTCAAAGTCATGAATGATCAGTATCAGAGAAACTTGAACAGGCACTTCAATAATTGCAATGTTGTTGTCCTCATGTCAGCTTCCTTAATCATAGATAGTAAGTCTCTCCTTCACAAAAGGAATTTATAGCGTCCTCAGAATCAAAGAAACACATCTCTCCATTGTAAATGGTGCTCTGAAAGACAAAAAGAAAAGTCCAAAGCAATATTAGCAGTACCATGACATTTGAATAATTTTGTAAACTCATTAATTTATTGTATTGTGTGTTAAATGGAGATTTGTTTATTGCAATTGTCACTTTGAAAAAAATTCAACCTTATGGAATGAAACGTAATTTGAAAACTTTCCTTAAATCTTTACTTCTCTGATGATCACTACAGAATTATCTAAGTTGACATTAAATATATAACAATAAGTTATTCCAAGTATAACAATCATAAATATTATTACCTCGGCCATAAAATATTTGTAAGTGCAGGCTCCATCAACAGTAAATCTTGCTAAGATGAATGAAAGGCCTAAGACAGTAAGCATACATCTCGCAGAGGTGTTCTCATATTCTTGGGTGGCTACTTAGAGCTCCTATTTATTAAAAAGGAAAATCAAACAAAACCAGATTGTACCTTTTGAAAGTTGCTACTTCATACAATTTATTTCCATTACAATCCAAGATATTTAAAAAGATAGTCACTCTAGTCTAAAATCATTTCAATACAATTTTGATATCTAATAGAGATGATAGTATTGACAATTATAATAACCGTCCTTTGGTATTTCCAAATATTAATATAGATATAAAGCCACTTCAAAATATGCACTCTTGAATCATACTAAAATTTATACTCTCTTATTATTTCAAAATACTTAACATGAAACCCACTGTCAATAAATTTTAATGCATTTTACAGTATTGTTGGCTAGCAAAGTACATACAGTGATATAACTACAGAGGCAAAATTATGTTTTTAAAATAAAACTAAATTGAAATAATTATGTTTTAGACTTGCACAATAATATATTCACCAATTTTCTGAAATATGATTATTCTTCTTTACTATTTTTTGTAAATCAATTTATTTGGAAACTCAAAGCATATTTGAGTATATTTGGATGTGTTAACTACTTTTCAAAAGGATTATTTTTTTCAAAATTAAACTTTCAGGAAGGAGTTCTATGGAAGGTGAGTATATGCCATTTCCCCTTATTTTACAAATTGAAATATTGAAGGCAGTGTTGTATTTCTTAATATCACTCAGTATTTTATAGCTGCATTTTGTGTGAATAAAACAATGTTTTGGAAGATCTAGATCAAACATTAGATTTTATTTTTTTAATTTTATGAAAAAAGGTAAAACAAAATTTCATAACGAAGTAATAGGACAAGACCAATAGTTAATATGTTACATGTTGCTATCTTTAAAGTAGTTGCTCATGGTATAAGATATGGCCATAAAAATGTCATCAATTGATATTAGCACAAAGCTTCCTTTTTAATGAACTAGAAGATACTAATAGTATAACTGACTTGCAATTTTTCCCATTTTTCCTACTGTCATTTCCTCTTCTACTCTAGTATCTTTTTCCTTTTGAACAATTTATTCCCATTTCATAATATCTATTGTACAATTTAGGCTTTATTTACTCTTTTAGTTTCTCACACCAGGGAGACAATATAATGTTTACAAATGTGAGTATGATTTAATTTACTTATGAATAATATCTCAAGTTGCATCCATTTACCTATAAAAGTCCCAAGTTTATCCTTCTTTACAGCTGAGTAGTACTCCATTGTATAAAAATTCCACAGTTTATTTATTTATTTATTTGATTTTTTTTACTTAAAGAGAAAGAAACAAAAAATACACAGAGATAAAAAAGGGCAGAAATAATACAGAATTACAGAAAAATAAATGGTTTGAAATCACCAGTTGATAAGTTACATACTGTCATCTTAGAAATAGCTGTTCAGGTTACAAAATTAAAGTATGTAAAATGGCATTCAAATAGTGACACTGCCAACAGTTCTGCTCAATGATCCAACAAAAACTCAGTAATATGGTTATCAGTCCTACATACTTGTTTTATATCTTAAAGAGTATAAGATTAAACATATCAAAACAGAACAAAATGGTTTAAAAAAATTTTAAAGAAATACAGATTTCAAACAAGTCCACTGGAGATCTTCACTGTCTATCTAATTGTCTCTAGTTTCTTCCAAATAGTTGTCCCCATCTTCACACACATTAAATATATGCTGCATATTATAGAACTAATAAAATCATTACAGGATGATAAAGGCTTTTTAGGTCTTCAAGATCTGACATTGGGGAAGACAATAATAACTAGCATTGCATTTCTCATTCTCTTCATAGTAGCTGCCCTTATCTTTATATATGCTGAAATTGAACTTAAGTGACTAGACTAATATCACTCTGATCAGTGAATAGTAGTATTGCTAGATTTTATATCATAATGCTACAAAATTAGCATTGGTTTTCTTAGTGCCTCTTCTTCTTCAGTGTATCTGTTCATTACATATTGCATTATATAATCTGTTCCTGTAAATAGTTTTTTAAAAAAAATCTTCTCATGCGTGAATTTCTACATTTCTATCTATCCTCTCTGTATTATAGGGGAAAACAAATCATAACAAGACAGCAAAACAAATTCCTAGAAAAACATGCAGTGAAAAAGACACATAAGACCATTATATTAGGTGATCTACCGTAGTTATTACACTTTCTCTTGTTATTTTCAATAGTCTTATCCACATCATTGGGCTTAATATAGTTGAATACCTAGCTATTTTTATAATAACACAACTTTGAAAACATTGTAGGACTTGAGAGCTGTTAATAATTAATACTGGTATGGATATCTTTTACATCTTGTCATCTTCAGAGTAGTTGCCTCTACTTTTAGGGTTGATACTATCAAGCATATCAAATTCAAATAAAATCAGCCAAGGCAAAAAAATGGTCTTATGAATCGGATTCAAATAAGAGCAGTCATAGTAAGACAATATAAGTAGTACAGGATTTCAGCTTAATTTAATAGGAAATTAATGATAGTTACCATGGTATAACCTGCTATGTTTGGGTCAGATGTCTGTGACCTCAAATCCAATATCAGTGGACAGACCAGAACAAATTAAATTCAAACTAAACAGGGCTATAAGACTACTGTGACTTTTAAATCCTGATACACTATTAACAATGACTCTGCCTTTTTTATAGTGTATCAAAGCTATCTATACTAAATTCTATAGCTTACCATCTCTGCCTCATGTCTGCTACTCCACTTACCTTCTATAATTTGTCCACCTTACTCCCTCTTTCCACTATCTGCCCTGTTCATTGAGGCCTCTCTGCCACTGTTGCTGGAATGCTGGTATCCCTTCCTCTCTTTCTCTGGAATGTCCTGCAGCACTCTCTGTAGGGTTGCGTTGGTGGCCACAAACTCCCATAGTTCCTCCTTGTCTTGGAAGCATCTTATTTCTCCATTAATTTTGAGAGAGAGAGAGAGTTTTGATGGGTATATGAGTCTTGGTTGCATATTATTTTCTTTCAGGACTTGCAATATTTCTGCCCATTCCCTTCTTGATTTAAGAGTTTGTGTTGATAAGTCTGTTGTTATTTTGATAATTTTCCCATTGTAGGTAATCTGCTTTTTTTCCCCTCTGGCTGCTTTTAATATTCTGTTCTTTTGGTGGATTTCTGGAATCTCGATTATTATATGTCTGGGTGTAGACCTGTTTTGGTTGTAGGTAGCTGGTGTTCTATATGCCTCTTTTATCTGGATATCATTTCTTTTTGCTATACATGGGAAATTTTGCTTTAATATATCCGTGAATATTCTTTGTATTTCATTTTTGGTTGCTCCTGCTTCTTCACTCACATTCTTTATTCTTAAGTTATATATCCTTTTGTCATCTAGCCTTTGAATTGTTTCTTTCTGGTTCCTTGTTATTTTTAAGAGGTCTTTTCTTTCACAATCATATATGATAAATCTCTCTTCAAGTTTCAAAAGGCTGACTTTAGTTTCTGTCAAGGCATTTTGCCAGTGTTCAATGGAGTTTTTAGTTTCCTGGTAATCTCTTTGGATCTGTTTCATGTATTCTAAGTTTTGTTTAAATTCTTCTTCAGAAGTTTCTCTTTCTTTTCTGATTTCCTCAGTTCTTCCATCTGTGTTCTCTTACATGGGGCTTGTCATTTCTTTAATCAATCTCTTTATATCTTGCCTCACTTGGATCAGGTGTACTGCTTTAAATTCATCTATGAGGTCATGGGGGTATTTTTTATTTCAGCTGATGCTGTGTCCAGTATTGGATGGTTACGGTGCTTGCTCTCTTCAGTGTTTACTTCTTCTGGGCTTACTTTCTCCTGTTGGGCAGCTGGAGATTTTTTTTATTTCTATTTCTTGTCATGTTTCTGGTTTCTTTCAGACTGGAGTGTTCTGGGGGTCTGTGGCCCTCTGTGTATTGCTTAGGGCCTTTCAGAAGTGTGTTGACTTGAGTTTTTGCTGTCCTCCTGAATTTGCTGTTATCTGGGATAGGCAAGGATGCAGGGACAGTGCAGGCTATCCTCCAGCCTCTGTGCTAGTCTATCTGCAAAATAGGCTGTACTTCGTGGATGTCACAGAATTGTGTCTATTTTGTATCTGCTTATTGGGTCCCAACCACAGGCTTGATTCAGCCCCAAGATCCTGCCACTTCTCTCTGCGCCAGAAGCAGCTGGCTAATGTCACCATGCCACAAGGCTCTACCCAAATCCCAGCTGTCCTCTTCCAGACCTCTCTATGCCAGGAGCCACTATCTAATGTCACCATGGCTGCGGCTCTGCCCAATTCCAAGATGTCCTCTACTAGTTCTCTCTATGTCACTGATGTCAATACAGCTCCGGGCTCTGCCCACTTTCAAGATGTCCTCCACCAGACCTCTCTACACCAGGTGTGACTGTCTGATGTCACTGAGCCGCAGGCTCTGCCCAATTCCAAGATGTCTTCCAGCCAGCCACAACAGCTGGGGGACCCAGGCCCCAGTACTCACCAGCACTCAGTGCAGGTCTTCCTCTTGAGTCTACTGCACACTACAATGCTTGCCTTCACTGCATTCCCAACACAGTGCGGAGTGGTCAGAAAACTGTACTGTGTCAGCTTCAGAACTCCAGAGCTTCTCACAATCTCCTCCTGCACAGCCGGGCAGCCCTGGCTGCTTCGTGGGGTCCTGCATCTCAATTTCCAGCAGTCACCAAAAGCCAATACAGTATTCTTTGATACTGTGATTTGAGCAACTATTTCTAAGATGATAATATGTAATCTATTAACAGGAGATTTCTTACTGTTTTTTTTTTTTTTGTAGTTCTGTATTATGTGTACCCTTACACCACTTTGTTTTGTTTTGTGTTTTTCTCTTTTTCCTCTTAAATAAAATTTTTTTAAAAAGCCAATACAGCTTTTCCTCTTGGATCCACTGTGCCACATTAAAGATGCGAGATTTGCAGACTCCCATTATCAGCCATCACGGTCTCAGCATGACCTTAAATCCTCCAGCCATGCTGTCTTGGTTAATCCACAGTTTATTTATTTTATCCATTACTCAGCTGATAAGCATTTGGTTGCTTTCAAGATTTAGCTACTACAAATTGTGCTGTTATAAACAAGGGTTTAGATATATTTCTGTAAACACTAGATTTTAAGTTACAGAATTGCTATATACAAAATCTTCCTTGCAATGCTGACTTTAAAGTACTACTAAATAGTAATTTGCTTAGGAATTGGAATGAGAAAGATTCAAAGCAAAAAAATTAACTGATTGATTGAATCTTTTCCACTTCAGTGAGAACTGGAGGACTTGCTAGTCTCTTTTTTGTATTTGTCAATATATTTCTAACCAACATTAATACTCAATGACAGACAACATGGAATCCGTACATATGAATTCTGCTGTTCAGAGAAAAAAAACTCATTGAGGCAGGTAGAATTTTTTTATCTTTTTTACAATTGACTATTTTTATAACAATTGTTCTAATGCTTATGAAATGTGACTAACCTTATGGTGATTTGATGAAAATAAGTGCACAAATTTGAAGTTAAAATAGAAAAAGGATGGAAGATCACTTTTTTCTTCAAAAAAGATTACCCTTTAAAGCTCAACATTTGATATTCACATTTTCCATCTAAATTTATTTCCGTTTACTCTTGCCATTAATATTTTAAATTTTGATTTGTTCTTTGGACTGCAATAATTTTGATCTTTTAATTATTTTTATAAAAAGCTAAACTAAAGTTAGGACTACAAAGAAAAAAACTTCAAATTCTGATTGGAAATTACTATAATCTAGATCTGGAGGGTTATAACCTGTATTTTAGATAATTATTTATATTTAGAAAAGAAGAGTGGTCTCTTCTGTCACAAAATGGCATAGTTTGTATTTCTCAGAAGAATAATTTTTTTCACATAACTGATACACAAAAATAACTATTTACATTGTAGTTTCACTTTGCTTTCCACTAATTCAGGAATGTTATTAAGCAAAGTCTAAGTGTGAAAATCCCAGTTCCATAAATTATCTCTAGCTAGTAGGAATAAAGGTTTTTTATTATCATTTAAATTTGTTGAAGTTCAGGGTTATTGAAGATATCAATTAGCATAGAAAATTTCTCTATGAGCAGTGTTTTAAAGTCATTATATACAATCTTAAACATAATCATCTATTACTTACAACCTATGATGATCTAGTTGATCAATACATCAGAATAGAGTGAGTCAAGGATTTTTGTTAGTGTTCTATAGCGTTCAACTCAGAATGTGGATGCTTCTCTCAAATCTTAAAAAAGAAATATAATCAAGTGGAAATGTTCTTTTTTATTTATTCTATGTTATACCACAGGCCTAGTTAAATTATTACTTGCATCTTAACTGAATCTATCTACAAGCCATGGAGTTTTGGTAAAGGATGGGAAAAAAGGATTATGAAGTGGCTGTATTTAACTACTGCCATCTAATTAGGACTCCAAAAAATCTGGCTGTCTTTTACAAAATTAGTAGGAGGACAACAACAGATTTCACCTTCTATAATTTAATTAAGACCTCAATAATGCCATCTTTTTTTTGTTTTCTGTTCCTTTTCAGCAACCAAGATTTCCTCTGCTCTATTTTCTTTAGTCCACAACTTTACCAGAGCTTTTTCTATGGCTACACTCATAATGTTTTAAATCATTTTGTTGGGCTCTTGGCTCTTGATTCTTAACATAAATCTGGTTAGAAACGCCCAACAGTAGCCATGCCACTGTCTCAACATTTGATTATCTTGAAATTTCTTCAACAGGATTAGTTATTCCATTCCCTTAATCTCAGACTCATGCAAATTTTCTGGACATAGTCAAAATGCAGACGAACTTTCTACCAAGCCATGACACATAGTTTGGATCCCAACAACCAATACAGTCTTTCCCAGAAGAAACCTCCAGAGCCTGTTCTGTACCAGCAGGATTTTTATCAGACTTCTGATCTTCTGAGCTCTGACCACAATCTCTCATGCAAAACAGCTGAAGGCATTCTAGCTCCACTTTTTCAGCAGGCATCTCCAAACCTTTTCAACCTCTTCCCATAAGCCATTCTCAAAGGCTCCCTTAAACAAATGGTCAATATAGTCACAGAAATGACCCCACTTTTAGTATCAAATTTTGTGTTAGTTACTTTTTTCATTGCTGGGATAAAATACCCAGCACCCACGGTTAAAAAAGGAAAATTTTATTTAGCTTACACTTTGTGGATTTCTATAGTCTATCATTGGCTAGTTCTAAGGCAGGGAGGAACATAGCATGGAAGTGGAAGATACCGAAAGCAACAAGAGGAGGGAGACGCTTTATGTCCCTTATATTGTATGCAAACTACCCTCCCTATAGCAGGTGTACCACCTTAAATCTTAGCATTTAACAATGAATCAATCACAGACCCCAGACTCTGAAAAGCCCTACCACGAAGATTACATGAAGTTTTGAGGGGACATCCAGGTACAAACCATAAAATGCATACATATGGGGAAACCCACTGGAGGAAAAAGAAACTCTGATAGAACTACAAATAATCATGCTCACATGAGGCAGACTTGGTACCTGTCACTCTCAGATTGGGAAACCTCAAAATTCAGGCAACAAGGTATTCAGAAGGGGCATGACTCAGTAATAAGGAATAATGAATCTTTTGTCTACCCTCCAGCCTAATGCCTAATGCCATTCTGGTTCTCTTTGTTAGGAGATATGGCTTCTCCTTGTTAGGAGCTATGATGTTAAAAACTTTTTTATAGTCACTTAACTATGACCCACAATAATCATAAGATATATATAAGGGAAAAATTCACATTTGATAACTAACCAAGTATTAGAAGTCATGAAAATAACGAACAAGATGCATGCCATAATGAAATGTAATCAAAAGTCATCCAGAAGTGACACATTAAAATTGACAGATAAGAATGTTAAAGCAGTTATCATAAATGTTGAATAGATTTCGAAAGCTAAGTAGATACAGGAAAGTTATAAAAATAGTTCAAGTCTAACTTCTAAAGATGAAATGTAAAGGCTTGAAATTTAAAATCCTCTGGCTAAAATTAACAAATTACAAAATTATTCATCCTTGAAGATGTAGTAGCAACACAAACTACTCAAAATGAAGCACAGAGAGAAAATTATACAAAGGTGAAAAATTATTAATAATTTCTGGAAAAACTTTAAGAAACCTAATATATATTTTAGTTAGAGTACCCAAAGGAAAGAGACAAAGATATTTGAAGATATAATTGTTGTACTCTAGAAAAAAAAAACTTGGTTATATTTATATTACAGTAAAATACCTGTAACATGGCCTTACAGTTTATGTGTTTTCTTTCCCCCTCTGGGTGACCTAATCGATATGTTAATCCATGCTCTCCTCTGTAAAGAATTATAAAATCTTACCTAATTGATATGTTAACCATTGTTGACCTCTACAAATAACAGATGTGGTGCTGAAATAAGCTAACAGGGGTTGTTAATTACTGTTAGACTGCTCTGTCCTCTCCTAAGGAAAACAAAGGTCTTCCTCATTAAGTTTTCCCGACCCCTTTACTTTGTAAATTGTGATATGTACTTAAAGGTGGCAAGTATAGAGAAGGGACACACAGCTTTTGCAGTCTCCAGCTGCACTGTCGCTGGGCCCAGGGTAAAATAAATCAGCGCTGCTTTTTAAAATATGTTTTTGCCTCATTTATTGAACTTGAGCTTGGGGGCTCGTTTGTGGATCACAAGAATAATGGCTAAAGTTATTCTAACCTCAATGAAAACTATAAATCCATAGGTTCATCTAAGAAGTTCAATTAACCCCAACCATAAAAAGAATGAAGAAAATTTAACTATACCAGAGTATATCCTGTATAAATTGCTTTAGAAAAGTGATAAAGGGAAAGTCTTAAAGTTATCCTGAGGAACAAATATTATACACAAATTGAAAAATGCTGAGGATGCCACACTTTTATTCTCAGAAAAAATGCAAAGCAGAATACAGTGCATCAACATATTTAAAATAGAAAATGAATTTTAAAAATCCATCAAGGTTAATACTGTATTAAGTGAAATTATTTTTCAAAAATAAAAATAAAACAAAAGCTTTTTAATATACAGAAAAACTGAAAGACTCCAGTGCCAGAAGAATTATGTCAAAAGAAGTTTAAAAGAATAGCTTCAGGTGGAAGGAAAACAATACCAATGAAAATGTGAATGAATTATTATTTAAGCCTCTAAAAGACTATTAATCCTTTATACAAAATAGTTAACATTTAATTTGGTGTCTATAACACATAAATAAAATGTATGACAATATCATAAAGCTTGAGAGAAAGAGAAATAGAAGTATACCATGGCAAAATTCTTATAAAAAGTACATTGTGAATAATTATAGCAAGTATGCCAAGAAAGGGGCTAAAACATAATTATAAAAAAGTTCAAGTAATGCAAATCAATGCAGACAAAAATGGTATGATTAAAAGATGGCACAACAAGTAAAGAAGAAGTCAGAGTTAAGTTAAATGAAGAATGTGAAATGTTGTGCTGTGTATGCTTTTACCATGGTGAATTTTAAGCCACTTTAGTCATCCAGGACACAAATTTCCTAAAAACCTTAACAAAAGGCTCTAGTGAGCTCTTAACAGTTGTAGCCTCCCACTCATTCCATGTGATCAGAATGTGATCACT